AGGCGACAGTCTGTTTCATGCTATATGCAATATGCAATCGTCAGGCCACGAGTGCTCTGACGATTGCATATAGCATGAAACATACTGTCGCCTCTAAGTGTTGACTTCTATGTTCACTTTTATATATATATATATATATTGACCACTAATATTATCTATCTATCTATCTATCTATCTATATATATATATATATATATATATATATATATATATATATAGAGAGAGAGAGAGAGAGAGAGAGAGATAGATAACGCCAGCAAGATATAAACAACATTCAGACTATTAACATCGGACCGAATAAAATAAAAGGAAACAACCATACATAAGTGTATAACAATTATGTTAATTTAATTTTTTTTTTAATTTTTATTTGTATACGTGTTAATTAACTTGGATTTTGTCACATAGACTTTGTAAAAAAAAAAAGATCGCCACCCTTGGATCTTCCCACCGCCCCAAAGTTGTCGGTAAAGATTACTTTATGAGTCCCACGACCAGAGCAAAACTGTAAGGCACACGGGCGAAAATGTGAAAGACATTTAAAATTAGAAAATCAGTTCAATAAAAAACAACGTCCAATTATTAATATACCGCATGTAAAAAATTCTGGATTTGCAGTTTGTTTTTGTTCTGTGTTTTTTTTTTTTTTTTTTTAAGTCGAATAGGTACTGGGATAAGAACCACATCTGGACTGGTGCTGCTCAGTTCTCCCTTTTCCGGCCTTGAAAGACTCCAAAATCCCTCGGCCTGGTGAGTGATGAATAAATTTCCACTATACAATCCATTTCCCCATAGATTAAACGTTGCTCGTCTCTCACTACTCTGTACTCTATCGCTATTTTCATGACAAATGTTCCGACGATCTACTACATTCCTTAGTTCCACTAGTTCAGATCTTCATAGCTAGTACCTATCATTCCACGTACACAAGGTCGAGTCCTTCGTATTTCATTAGTAAGAAGGAAGTTTCACACGGACCGCTTCTTCCTCAGAACAGACACACGAAAGGTATCTTCCCTGATCTTGAGCTCTTCATGTCTAGGATCAGCTGTTATCTATCCTGCATGTCCTCATAATATGCACTGATTATATCATTCCTTTACGCCCTTACAACAACATTATTCAGTGAGCCCCTACCTTGAGAGGCTCTTGGGCTTTGGGTAAACACTAGTATAAAAAATTGACTGAAGTTGCAAGTGTGGTACGTTGAAGGGAAATAGTTAGTTTATATATTCTTTGTGGCTGAATGGTTAAGAGCACATCACATCAAATGATGGTTCCCATTGGGGTTACAGGTTCGATTCCTGTCGGAGAAATTTCTACAAAATTTCTCGGACATTCAGGTCGGTAAATGTAATTACCACTATTAAAAAAAAAACAGAGCATTTACTTAAAGAAATTGTAACTATTAAAATAATGTATAAACAGAAAATATATTAAATAACTGTCGGACTTAATAAATTTCATAATATGCATATATAGATATATTTAATGCACATATCAAGAAGTATATTTATGTGTTTGTATGTGTTTGTGTATGCGTGCGTGATGTATTTCTCGAGGAAATACTTAAAGGAAAAAAAAAAGTTGTCCAACACTGTGATGTTTATAAATGTCATATGAGGCAGACGCACTGGCCACAGATTGACCACCCACAATTAATCTGAAGGTAGTCTATCAGTGCGCGTAGAAGCACAGCATGCATTTAACAAATGGGTCAGAGGTCAGTACTGACACTCAGGTTAACATCCGGTCCTACGTCCCCGCTCCAATCAAATAGATACGCTCGTCTAAAACATGTTGCTATCACCTGACAAGATATTGTGAGACCAGATTAAAGCAACGGTGGGTTACAACTATAAGAGAAACAGAAAATAAATCATTTGCTCAGGTAATAATATAAGAAAGTATAAAATATATGTATATTTTTGAAAAGTCTTCCTACCTAACAGGTTGTTTTGGTTTTTAAAAAAACTTGTTGGAAATAAAGAATTAAATTTAACGTATGTGTAATGTTTCTTCTTCTTCTTCTTCTTCTTCTTCTTCTTCTTCTTGTTTGTGTCGCGCCCCTTCAGGACATAGGCGATCATAGCTCCCCAGAACTTTCTATATCGTGTAGCTCTTAGCAGATTTTCTCCGTTTTCTAAAGACTCCGCTCCCACTGTTCTGCCATCCATTCACACAAGCTCATCAGGCTTACTGCTTTCCCTATCTCACTTGCCTTCAGTATGCCTTGTGAGGGTTAAATTTTCCAAGCCCTCCTTCCTCATTCTGTATCCAAGGAATTTCAGCTGCATTTTCCTGGTTCTAAGTAGAAGTGTTCTTTCTGCTGCCATTTTCTTTAAGACTTCCTTGTTGGTTATACTAGTGACAAACACATGAACACATCAGTGCATTCCGAAATCATTATGACCGTCAACTTCTTCTATTGACATAGGGGATCATGGCTCTCCACAACTTCCTATCTCGTGTGACACTTAGCAATTTTTCTCCCCCACCCCCGTTTCGCCATCTATTCACACAAGCTCGTCAGGTTACTGCTTTCCCCTATCTCTCTTGCCCTCAATATGACCTGTGAGGGTCAACTTTTCCAAGCTCTCCTCTCTCGTTATGTGTCCAAGGATTTTCAGCTGTCTTTTCCTGATTTTGAGTAGAAGTATTCCTCCTTGTTGCCATTTTCTTTAAGACTTCTTTGTTGCTTACTCGCCCAGTCCATGGAATTTTCAGTATCTTTGTATAGAACCACATTTCTGCAGCCTTCAGCTTTTTCCTCGCCGTAGCGAGATTGTCCAGCATTCACTGCGATGTGAGGATTGGTAACACATAACAACCCAAAACTCTTTTATTTGTTTTTAACGAAATTTTTCTGTTTTTCAGCACTTTGCTTATCTTCTGGGATATATATTTCCTTAGTTCAATGCGTGTTTGGTGTTGTATTTTCTATCCTCTGTTAAAAACGCTTCCCAGATTTTTGAACTTCTGCAACTGCTTGATGTTTATATCTCCAATTCGTAACTCACATCTTAAGCTTTTTCTCTTACTGATGACCATACTTTCTGTCTTCTTGCAGTTGATAGTTAGTCCTTTCTTCTTACTTTCTTCTTCCACCTTGTCTAGGAGATTTTCTAGTTTCCTTTCCTAGTCGGCCATCAACCCAGTGCCATCTGCGTATCATATATTGTTAAGATTACGCTCACTGATAATAAATTCTGACAGCGTCTTCAGTTCCCTTAGGATAGCGTCGCTGTAGAAGTTAAATAAGTCTGGAGAGAAGACGCATCCTTGTCTCACGTCCCTTTCTGTTTTTGTATAGCGACTCTATTTATTGTCTATCCGTTTGCTATTTTTCTTAAAATATCTATTTTACATCATTTTTCAATTTTGAGCCCTACTTCATGCTTATTTCATGATTTAATATAACCCTGATGATAGTGAGAAATCTCACTTATTTTCAAGGGTGGACCTGGGAACGCCAGCAATTAAGAGGTTGTTCCACGATCCTCAAAACCTCCTGATCAGAGGCCTTGCTGTTGGACGTAGTTTATCGTCTTACCCAGGACGTGGATGTAGTCTATCGTCATACCCAGGACTGTAAAGCGTGCTTTCATTAATGTAGATAATTCTAACATTGAGTTGTCAGGTAAGTCTCCATCGCAAAACTGGTAAATACAAACAAAAAGAGATTTCCCTGGTCCGTGGGGGAAAAAGCTGGATGCTGATTTGATTCCTGTCAGAAGCGTAATTTTTCCTTTGTAGAACTTCTCAAATTAGGTCTGTTGTTATTAATTTCACTGTTTAATAAAATAAAAAATAGGGATAGAAACTCAAAAATGTGTACCAACTAAAATGATATTATAATATAAATATAGTGTTTTTTTTTTTAATATCAGTTAATTTTAGCTGAATCTGGTCATGCTTGGAAATTTCTCACTTTTGAGCCATATTTCATGGTTAAAATATAATCACAATGAGCGTTCGAAATTTGAATTATTTTCCGTAAGTTGAGGTGGGAGTAATATTAAATTGGAAGGATTAGCCACATTTGCAATGTCTTTCTTTGACTGAAGCTGGTTTTACATGCGTGATTTTATTGCTATTCTTGTTTTGAATAATTAATAAAACTTGTGTTTAAAAAAATCTGATCCGTGTTTCATGCTTTAAAATATACTTAATTTTTGGACAAATCTGAGCCTGGTCATATTCAGCAAATTCTCAAGTTTGAGCTTTATTTCATGCTTAAAATATAACCGCGATGAAAGTTAGAATTTTCACTCATTTTCCTTAAATTAGAAGAGAAAGAAAAATAAGTCGAGCTAATATAATAATTCGTTTTTTTTTTCTTATTTTATTAATATATATATTCATTGGTTTAAACTAATTTATTTATTTTCTTAGAAGAACACTCCGTCTTGGTTTCATGTGGGAAAATCAGTACAACCAAGCATACCCGATTTATAACATCAAATAACCCAAGTGTAGACTTGATTGGTTGCCGTTTTCTGGGGGAATTTATCTAAAGCATGTCCTAAAACTAGTAGCAAATTTACTCTAGGTGCGGTATACTTACTGGCACATGTCAGAGGTTAGAGTCTTGTCTCGGGAAATTGACTCCGTTTTTACGTGGTCTATAGGGAATTTTTGCCCGAGCCTACGAGCTCGGATACTCCACTTTAAAACTCGGCCTTGTGCCACATCTTGCTGCGTGGGGCAGTGGGTAAATAATATTTACTCTGGGTGAGGGCCAAATACTGATCATATTCGCTCGGGTCGCCCATCGAAGAAGTCTGTTGTTTATTCAGACCTAAAACTTCTAGTGACATGGGAGTAACAACACTGATGACGCACTTAGAGTCGGCACTTAAAGGTGTAATTTTAGCAAAACAAAAGTCTGAGCTTGGCTTCATGCATAAGATATGCTTACCAGTTCATGACTCTCCCAACTTTTGTTGCTCAAAGTAATTCTTGCTTCCTCAAGTATTTGCACTCCTTACTCTGTTTTCCGAGCATATCAGGTTGAAACACCAGCTCTCGTCCAATCACCGAAGTTAAGCAGCGTCAAGCCTGGTTGTTATCTAAATCGGTGACCGCTTGGGAATAAAACGCGCTGTAAGCTTGGATGTGCGGATGTTCTAATAAATAATGGCTCAGAATTATTAACCTGTGAGCCGAATTCCAATTTCTATTGATTTCGTTATAATGATTTGGGCGCAAATACCCTTGAGATAAGGTATGAAATGCACCACTTTTCCGTTCATCTATCGGTTAATTAGTGAGATTTGTATCACTAAACGGTTATTGCCTAAAAAATTTCTGCCTTTAAATAATCGTCTAGGTGTTGATAAGCTGTAAAAAAATGAACCAATCAATCAATAAAACTAAAATATGCTTAATTCTTGGATTAATCTGAGCCTTGTTATGCGCATAAGCTTCATGCTAATAAATTTTGTGAATGATTTTAATTAATGTTTACGTTTGAATAGCTTCATGCCTTCCTCGAGTTTCCTATTCTTATCTTTATACAGGATGGATAAATTGTCGTTTAAATTACGCAAAAATGAAAGTAACACAGAGACTTCATTTTAACAGACATATTTACCAAAAGTTACAAAAAAATATCTTGAAATACTAAAGAATAAATTTATTCAATAAAATTGATATTGGCTTCAACCACGGCCTCCAGATGACTTTGGATTCTCCTGCATCTCTTCTGGATGGTCTCCTTGTTTCAGTTGGTGAATGCTGCCATAATCCTTGCCTTCAACTCATCTTTGGTGTTACAAGGAGTTTTATTGGTCTCTTGGCCAATTGGGTCCCACACATAATAATCAAGGGGGTTGCAGTCTGGGGAGTTAGGTGGTCAAATGTAAGGGGTGATGTAATCGCATAAATTGTCTGACAGCCATGACAGGGTTCTCCTGCTTGTGCGGCATGGTGAAGAGTCCTGTTGACAGACATAGGGTCTTCCAGCAGTCACCCTTTTGACCCAGAGCAGCACTTTCCTCGAAGCACTTGATGTAGGCCTACCTGTTGCGTCTGAAGCCCTAACCAACAAATTCTGGAGTTCTTTTCTCATCAGTTTAAGTTTTTCGAGATGCCGTACCTTCATAATCATCATTAGACTCATTCAGTTCTTTCCGAATACTTTGTACTGTCCTCAGATTGACACCAAAACAGTCTGAAATGTTCGTATTACAGCTTCTGACACCATCTTCAAATTTCTGGCGGAGTGAATTGCGTCATGGTGCTCTTTTTCTCACAGATGCTACCCAGCTGACCCTACTATACTGTGCAGTTGACAAAATCAAAAACAAACAACACGCATGCGCGAAATTAAAAATATAAACGGCAACAATTTACCCATCGCACCCTGTACTTCAGAGTTGTCCCAAAAGCGGTAATCGTAATGATGGATACAATCGTCATTCTTCATAATTTTAAATATTCCAGTCCTTTGGAAAAGACCAAACAGTTTTCCTGAGTTTTACGTTCTTTCAGTGCCATTTTGTATCTGGTAAAACGACGACATCCAACCTTAAGCAGACCTTTTCCTAATTCTTTACGATGACTTAGTGTGATGTCCTTGTTTGTTTTAGATGATTCGTCAAACTTTCAAAATCTTATAAAATTTTATTTTTCCATTCTCTAAGACAATTCCTACTGTTTTGCATAGTCAACTCTTAGTCATAAGCATAATTCCTAAGGGATTATCCTTTCTAAGTATTAATAGAGTCCGATCTCTTTAATCGGGCGCTTCTTTTTTAATCAGCCTCCATTAGTTTGTTGAGGGCAGCCCCACATGTTGTTTCCAACTTACCGCGGCAGCCGACAGCAGTAGAGTGTTTTGGTGATACGTACATGCTCATTTCTTATATATAACAGCCTATTTATCCAATCAGGATAGTAAGTATATATTATTTCTTTTCTTCTTTCAAGCCTTTTTTGTTAGTCTTTGTATTGCATGAAACAATAAAACCTTGTTTGGAAGCATTAATGATTGTTTTATTTCCTGCTTTAAGCTTTGTTCTACCTTTGATAACACAGCAATATATATGTGGAATGACCTGGCATGACTATGCTTATATAGGGTTTATTAGGGGTGATATCTGTCATCCGGCACTTCTGTGGTCCAGCAGTGGCCTGGTACTAAGGAGGGAAAAATTAAAGAGGTCGGACTGTATGTCTATTTTTGTACCCATTTTTTGCTTATTTGCCTCATTTGCTTCTGGTAGCAGGAAGTGGAAAGCTGACGTCAAGTACCATCATAGTCTGTTGCGCTAACTTTCGCACCAATTCCCTTGCCCAAGTATATTAGTGCGAAAGTGAGCGCAATAGATTATTATGGTACTTGAAGTCTGCTTTCCGATTCCATTTCTTCCTTCTCTAGCCTTGGATGGAAACCAGCCTAAAAGAAAGAAAATACTGAACTCAAAAACGTAGAGAATGCAACGAGAAATACTCCATTTATCTTTCCAAATTAGTTATGACAATTCACAGATATTAAAAAACAAGAAAAACTAAACAAAAAAAACATGTAAAGCGCCATAATCGCCTACGTCCAGAAAGGACATGCTATTTAAAAATGTCTTCGTACAAGTGATATCTACTATTCTGATCTGTCATATCTTCTTACCCTTGATATTGTTTGTCATAAATCTGAGTATTTATGAAAGTTTTTATTATTATTACTCTTTATTGTTTCCTCCTTGTGTTCCTTCCCAATGGATCACCGTTCCTACCCAGTCTATTTTTATGCTAATTCTGGGCTAATTTGCCGCAGTAGCTTATAATATGATTAATGTTTTCGTAAAGGTGACATTGACTATTCTGATCTTCTTACTCTTGTGTACCAAATAAAAGATCCGACAGGATTAAATTATTTCCTTCAGTTTTCACCAAGTTATGTTGTTTAATTGCCACGCCACGATTTGCAAAACGTTTCCCGGAACTATAATGCGAATGGTCACGTTTATTAAACTTACATAAAAAATTCCCTGTGGAATGATTATTTGAATCGGCACGCTTATTTAATAAATTGGAAAATTCCCATCGACATGACTATTCCAGATGACGTTTGCATTTAATACAAAAAGAGTATCCTTAATGTATTCTTCTATAAGCCGTGTCCCTTCATGGCGTGAGCGTTCGTGGTTATCCACAACTTCCTGTCCTTTGTAGTCCTTAACAAAGTTTGCCTTTTTGCTATCTCTCCTAATCCCCGTTCTTTCAACCATCTACACAAGCTCGTTAGGTAAGTTATGCGCTACTTTCCTGTGTCCTTCTTGTCTTTAATATGCCCTGTGAGTATCGAATTTTCTAAGGCCGCTTTCCTTATTATGTACCCTAGAAATTTCAACTGTAAAATATAAGTGTCCTTTTTGTTTCCATTTTCTCTAAAACTTCGTCATTGCTCACATCTTCAGTCCTTGGTATTCTCAGTATCCTTCTGTAGAACCACATTTCTGTTCCCTCAAGTCTTGTCTTAATCTGTGATGAGTGTTCAACATTCACTGGAATATAGGAGGACCAATATTACATAACACTTAAGTACACTTTTCTTTGTTTAAATCGAGATTTTCTTATTTCTTAATACTATGCTGAACTTTTGGAAGACATCTTTTGCTATCCCATTGTGCCGTCAGATTTTGATATTGCATTTTCCATCCTCTGTTAAAGCACTTCCTCGATATTTCAATTTTTACATTTGTTTAATTTTGATATCTCCAATTTGTAATTCACGTGTTCGGTTGTGCAGCTTGTTATAATATAAAATATATTGTTTTGAACAGTTATTAATAGTTTTGCTATTTTAAATATTTATTGGAAACGTCAGATTCAATTTAATTATTACAGAAATTTAATTATTTGGTAAGTGTTATAAAAGTTAACGAAAATGTGACAGAGACGTCTGAAGCACACTGGAATATCGAAACATGCCGTCTAAATATATTAAAAACAAAGAAAACATTGCTCAACTGTTATATGATATAAATCCTCCTATGTAGCAGTGAATGTTGGACAATTTCCTCAAAGATGAAAGAGAGACTTAAAGCCACAAGGAAGTGATTTTATTGAAGAATTCTAAGAACAGCAGGGACGGGACATATGAACAACGAGGAAGTCTTAAGTAATATGAGAACAAAAAGGACATTTGTAGTTAGACACAGAAAGAGACAGTTGTAATTTTGTTGACAAATAAGAAAAATTTAACACTCACAGGACGTTGAAAAGAAGAGCAGAGATAAACTGAGTAATCTGGCTAACGAGCTTGTGTAAATGTATGGCAGAACAGGGGTGAGGTGGGAAGGAGAGTAAAGCGGTACAAATGATAAGTGGTTGCGAGCCATGATCGCCCGCGTCCTTAAGGGACACGTCATATAGAAGATGCAGAACCTCTTACTAAAAAAAAAAAACCCTCTTTAAAAAATAAAAAGAAAGAAATTTGATAACATTTTAAAAAAGATAATTATTTCAATATTTAAAGATATTGATTACAAGTATTTTTTTTACTTTTATTTTATTAATTTTTAATTTAAAATCAAATGGATTAATTTTGTCATATAGAAAATATTTATTGGAGGATTCTCAGAGTAAATTGTAAAGTAAATTTTAAAAGGGTTTTTTTCTTTTTCATTGCACTAAAAAACGGTAGGGTCAGAGTATTCCCTGATGCCTGTAGAGGGCCAAAAGTCAAGTGCCGAGGGAAAGGTGTTGTTTTTGTCTTCTACCACCCCATGTATACATAGGGTTCCTACTTTAAGAAAACGTTGTGTCATATATCGTCTCCGTGGGAAGATGAGTGAAAACCTAATTTACGAAAGAATGAACTAAAGAAAGATAGAATGAATGGATAGAAAGAAAGAAAGAAAGAAAGAAAGAAAGAAAGAAAGATACAAACAAACAAACAAACAAAGAAATTGAGATTCATTAAAGTTATGAGTTAAAATTTTAAATTTATGTGATATATGCGAAACTTTTTTGCAGAAAAATGAACGTTCTCAACAGAGATTTAAAAAAACATAAATTAACAAACAAAAAAACACACAAAATGAGAAAAATTGAGAAATATTCATTTTCTTTTTTGCCATTCGTAATTAAATTTTGTTAGTGTCAG